CGAGAAATGAGAAATCCTGAATCTTTGCTGCAGACGGTGCAATGAAGGCACTGGTCGCCCATGTCGCGCTCGAAAGCGGAGTTGCAGGTCCTCTCGCTGGGCGCCGCGCGGGAGACGGGGGGAGGCAGGACTCTATAGAGGCCTCTGCAACAGAGTGCTAGGGCTGTAATTTAGCTGTCATCGAGGAACGTCGTGATGTGTAGTATCATCTCGGGGGGGGCTGCAGGATGGTGTCGTTCTGTTTCCCTGGTCAAGGTTCTGCAGGGAGGGATTGCGGCGGGTGACTTTCCTCCGCCGCCAGGCTTTTGTGATCGACCTCGAACATTTCTGGATGGTATTCGGCATGAGCGTGGATCGGATTTCAGGTAATTATAGGCAGGTTCTCTAAGGGTAGAAGGGAGAGGAATTTGAAGGGGTCGCTGACAACAATGAGAAGCTAGCCTGCCCTTCGCGACGCCAGTGCTGCCGGGGCTGGAGCAGATTTCCGTTGCTCGTGAACATGTCTGGAAGTCAATTCAAGTTGAGATCGGGATGGGTGGAATTCAAGAGGTTTATGTACCATAAAGACAGATGCTTTCTTCCTCCTGGCCGTAAAAATCCTTTCTTTTTGGAACTTTGAAGGGCCGGGCACCCTTTGCTACGGCCTGTAGATACTCGACAAGCTGAGGCACACCACCGAGGAGAACTGCATCACAGCAACTTTGGCACTCCCGTGGAGTCATTGAGCGTCTTGTCAGCATTTCCCGCCCTGAGGAAGAGGTGGTTTGGTGCTTCCGAGTCAAAGGGTGCTACAGATTGTGAGAAGACTGGATGTATTGCGACCATCGACCCCTATTCCACTATACACATCAGTACAGAGCCACTGGAAATGACCTCCAGCGAAGCGTAACTCTCATCTTCTTGGTCCTTCATCGTGTCTCCTATAGCATCACTCAGTCGAAGCCAAGAGTTGGTATCTTGGATGCTTGCTCGCGTAGCCATAGACAGGAAACTGGACGAGTGTCAGGGCAAGTTTGGTGATTCTGTCGCTACCCGCGACCTGTTCCAAATGTGACATGCCAGCACCCGTCTGCACATCCTGGCTTGCGAGGACCAAAATGTGTTTTCTATTTGTACAAAGCACGCGGGTGGTGTCTCCCTGCTGCTTCCCTGGTCTTGCCCTAGGGTGTTCTTCCCTCGGATATTCTGTTTACTCGATCGCTCCTGGCCCAAGCCCTCAATCTGCTAAGCCATTCCAACCATTCACTCTGCCAAAGTATCTCTGATACCATGAAAGTTTCGTCCATCAACCTGAACCATCATCTGTATTTTGGTTATCCCAAAGCTCTATTCGAGGGGTGCATGGGAGGCAGGTGCGACCCATTACGCCTTCCTCGTAAGCTACTCATTGATAGCGAAAGCGTCTCAGTCAATCCAACCCTTGACACTCGTCTTTCGATAAGTCACACCAGGCCACGCCGGTGTACCAAACCTCAAATGACCTCCTTCTTCATCTCCTGGGAGCTGTGGCAGCAGATGACATTTGTGAGTGATTGAGTGACCGGCAACAATCGGCAAGAGACCCGAGACTGACGACTGCAGTGCCTCGGTGCGGCCATTTGTCTTGTTTTTGTTGCCGGATATTGGAAGCTCTGCTGGACTCATCAGTATGTTAAGAAACAGGAGGCTGTTGACGAAGAGAGGCGAACGCACGACCTGGAAATGCGCAAGTCGGGCCTGCCAGCGATGAACCAAGTCACTGAAATTCCCTTTGGCGTCCGAGCCATTCAGAGCGGCATCCAAGTCGACGGCATCTGGATCTCCAGCCATTCGTTGCCCACAGAAACCCAATCGATGCTCGTATCGATGAACATTTCGATCCCAGGGCAGAGCAACGCAAAGGGAAAGGGACTGGATACGATGGCCCCGGTACTCGCACTGCTTCCACCGCATACAAATGCCCTTGCAGATGACTCCAGAATTGAGCAGCCCTTGACCTTTGGCCTGCATAATTCTCTCCAGAATTTCCTACCAGACGCTTTGAAGACGTACCGACCATCGGCCCCTCTAGGCTTCGAAAAGGAAAACTCCAACTCCACTGAGCGAAACGCCCTGGGATACTCGAAGGAAAGCGAGCCACAGGCGAGGACTGTACTTCAAACGTACGTTCCGATTGCCGCACCCATCGCCGGGGCACTCGACGGCTCTCGCCAGATGCGCGACGCTGTTTCCGCTGCTGCGTCTAATGACCACGAAACACCCGACGCCAATAAAGCGATACTAATCCCTGCAAACAAATACCAGACCGCTGGCCCCCGGCGTCCGACTCACCATTCTGAAAGACGCTTGCCTGCAGTTGACGTGCTAACGCCGAGCTCGCATCATCCCATCGATGGCTCGAACATCCCGCGCTCATTGAATATGGCGGCCGCTCACGTAGCATACCCTGAAGGTACCGGTACTGTTATCGTCCCGGAGCCCTGGACACCACCTGAGCCGGGAGCCAGTTATTGTATTAAGTCAGAACACCAGCACCAAAGAAGTCGGCCTACGATACCATCGCCCACATTTGCACCGGGCGACGTGCACGCAAATCGATCACGACGCATTGTGAATCCTGGATTCGAGGTCCTTCCCGCCGGTACATTTACAGCTGGACAGAGCAGCAGTGGCGATGATGCGGACGCTGAGGAGTCATGGCGGCATATGCGTCCGAGGAGGCTGTCTCAGGCAGGAAAGGCGAAACTGCGGAAGAGTCCGCCGAGCACTCGCCGCGGATAGGTGACAGGAGACTGCGCGGGCCCCTTCAATGACCGATCCAACAAGCATATAAGCATCTAGGTACCGTAAAAGGGGGTGGCCTTTCGTCAAAGGACAAAAACATACAACACCGGGGATTCGCCGGTGGTCACCCACCCGACTACTGGTCCGGCCCTTACTGGTTTATCGAATGGGAGAGCGGACGGGATCCCGAGTTTTCCAGTAGGTATGGTCGTATGTGCTTGGAAGACCGCCATTCGCCGATGATATTGGTTGTGGTTGTTGTGATGGTGAAGGCATGCCACCGTTGGGTTGAAAGGGGAAAGGATAATAGGCCAAGTCAACACGACCAGTCATGACAGCGCTACTCAACCACACCATTCACCATTGAGGCATAATGACATAAACGCCTGGCATATACAAGAATACGTGCATCCGCGGGAGGTGCTGGTTGATCCCGCGGGCCAGAAGTGCTCGAAGCGCTCGAATCTCCGCCCGCACGCGCTCGGCTTTCGGCGCGCCTCGCTTGCTTGCCTGGGTGCCGGGTGGACCGACCAAGCCAACCCAACGCCGCCGTTGTCGGCAGATCGTCGCGTGCCCAGCGATGGCGATGACGTTGACCCCGCCCGGGCGGCTGATTGAGGCCAATCCAGGGTCAGGAATTGACAATAATAAACCTGCCTGGGTACGCCGTGATGCTTCGAGCTGCGTGCACCTGTGTTCTTGCAACGTTCACGTCCTGACAAGCCGCTCAATCGGCATCCAACGAAACGATACGAATCGAAGGACCACGCACAGTCATGACACAGACCCTCCACCCCGGCGCGCAATCGGGGTTCGCCGACGCCTCGAGCTACGACGCCCACCGGCCCTCCTACCCTGCGGCGACGGTGACGGCGTTCCTCGAGAAGCTGGGCCTCGCGGGCAGCGGGGCGCGCGCGTGCTCGACCTCGCCGCCGGCACGGGCAAGCTGACCGAGGTGCTCGCGGCGCGGGACGAGGGGTTCGAGATTGTGGGTGTCGAGCCGCACGCGGGGATGCGCGGCGAGCTGGCGCGCAAGGGCCTGGCGGGCGTCGAGGTCCGGGACGGGTTCGCCGAGGAGATCCCGCTCGGGGACGGGTGGGGGGACGGATGCGTCGTCGCGCAGGCGTTCCACTGGTTCGCGAACGAGAGGGCGTTGCGGGAGATGCACCGGGTGCTGAAGCCGCGGTCGTCGCTGGGCTTGATCTGGAACATTGAGGATTGTGAGTTCTGCTGCTGGCGAGAGCCGGAGGAGAAAGGAAGGCGCAGCCGCGAACAAAGATTGCTGACGGCGAGGGTCACCAGATAACAAGCCTGCGGCCTGGACGGCGTCGACGCACTGGGAGCAGCGCCTCAACGAGCTCATCCACTCGCTCGACGGCGACGGACAGGCAAGGTTCCGGAACGATGCGTGGCGGGCGTGCTTTGACTCGCAGGTGGCGAACCCGCTCAAAACGGTGGCCGAGTACGGGTTGCCGGGGCTCGCGACCACCGACGACGGCAAGGCGCCCTGGTTCTCGGTGCCGATCGGCGAAGACAGCGTGCCTTTCACGGTGTGGCTGACAGAGGAGGCGCTGTGGAAGAGGTTGTCGACGCTGAGCCAGGTGGCCGTGCTCGAAGGGGACGACCTATCGCGGTTTCGGGCGAGGCTGGCAGAGATGCTGAAGGAGGAGAGCGTCGAGAGGAATGACAAGGCGAGGTGGCCACTGCATGGCAAGACGTTTTTTGCATGGGACTTTCGCGGCTCTAGTTTAGACAGAGGACCAGGGAGAGAGAGAGAGTGAAGGAAGAGGAAGAACCACGCGGGAAACGGGCATCTTCGGACGTGGGGGACTCGACAATCGTGGTATATTCATTGAACTCTCTGTGTAGCCTGCGCACTGGACTGCCGTGCGTAGCAGTCATGCAGACACAGGAAGAGGCCTGACTGAGATCATAAACCATCATAACATGGATTAAAAAAAAAGCCCGTTAGTCTGCGGAAATGTACATGACTGAGAGGGCAGACACACACAGCCACACGTCAGTAGGAGCAGTACAGCAGATGACAAGGGGGGACATACCGTTGTTGCCCTCACAAAGGCGTCGCCGTACGACCTCCGCTTGGTGCCGTTGACATACTCCTCCGTCTTCTCGAGAGCGATGTTCATGTAGCCGTCGACAGACTGGAGCTCGCCTGGCGCGGTACGCGGGTTAGTGCCTCATGACCTCTGCTTGCACCGTTCCTCGCAGAACGCACCCTTGTAGACGACGCCCGAGTTGAGCTTGACGGTGACGGCGTTGCCGATGATGTCGCTGAGGAAGCTTGAAGGGTCCTTGCCCTCGCCCTGGGGGCCACTCGGGTTTCCGTTTTCCATGTTGGCAAGGGGGTTTGGTGTATGGCGGGTGAGGTGATGGGGTGTAGGGCGAGTGGGATGAATGAGTGAGGCTCGTGATGAGAGGCTGACGCAGAGACGGGGCGATGGAAAGGCTGTGAAGGCAGAAGGCAGAAGGCAGAAGGCAGAAGCTGGTCTGTGCATGGCAAGGTAGGTACCTAGGTACCCAGTACCTTTGAGGTACCTTTACCTCGTTCCTCACCTGCACCACAGTTCCTGGTGGGGCGGCTGTGATCGTGTCGACATGGCGACTTGGGCGCGAGCAAAAAGCATCTGGAGGCTTCATCTGCTGCACCTCTTTTCCCCAAGGGCCGCCCTTGTCGCCCACCATGCATGCATGCTATCGAAACAGCCCTCTTTGCTTTACATCGTCCTACTCGTGCCTAGCACTTTTTCTTCTTGCTTGCTCTCAGTCCAACTGACCCCCAACACGCAAGAACGTCTTGACGTTGTCTACTAGGTAGTCAGCCACCCACTACCTACATCCCTGCTATCATCATCATGGCCGAGTCCACTGCACCGAAAAGGTGGCTGCCTTTCAAGCCCACCGCCCTACGTCAAAACTCCGACCCGAAGCCGGAAGCCAAAGGCAAGGTCGAGAATGGCGACGACGACAACGACGACGACGGGCTCAGCTTGTTCAAGCGCTCCAAGGAGTTCTTCCCCAAGGTCATCGCCGCCGAGGCGCGCCGTCGCCAACGCAAGCACGCCCACCGCGACAAGGGCAAGGAGCTCGCGACGCCTGCTGCCGACGCACGAGACGACTCGGACGACCCTGGGCACGGCGCACGACTCTCCAATGACAGCTACAGACATGCGAGTCCCAGCCGGTCGCGACCTGTGAAGAGGGCGATCGACGACAGCGATGGCGATCTCGAGTGCGTGCCCATGCTCCCCGCCGCTTTCTTGCTTCCTTCGTGTTGCCATGTCGTTCACACTAACCTGGTCAAAGGGATCACATTGAAACGCCGCCTTCCAAGCGATCACGCACGAGCGACGAGTACATCGAGCGCAAGACCAAGACGACACGCTCACCGAGCTACGACCACCCGTCCACGCCATCACGGCACGCCACCAGATCTCTCGCACTGCGCACGCCGAAGAAGGAAGGCTCGTCGCCCAAGGGCAAAGACGCCGTCGTGTCCCTCGACGACAGCGACGCGAGCGACGCTGACTTTTATGGCGCCACCCCCGTGCGCGACATGCCAGGTGCGCGCTCCTCCCACGGCGCTGCCATTGTCCTTGACTCCGACGACGACGACGACCCCTTTGCCGAAGGCGAACAAGTCAAAGCATCGGACGACGGCACCGGCAGCAAGACGGACGAGGACAAAGACGAAGAAGAAGAAGAAGACGAAGGAGACGACGACGTGGAAGAGTACATCCGCGCCGCCCGCGAGCGCCAGAAGAAGGCCGAGGCAGCCCAGGCCAACCCCACCGAGGCCGACCAGACACGCATCACCATCCTCATGACGTCGCCCATCCCCGGCACCAAGCCGGTCAAGTACCTCTACACCCTCTGGAAGCCCCTCGGCAAGCTGCGCGAGGTCTGGAACAGCACCGAGGGCTACGACGTCGAGCCCCCCCTCGACGACGCCGCCGTCACCTTCATCACCTGGCGCGGCCGCCGCCTGTACGACTCGACGACGCTCAACAGCCTCCAGATCCGCGCCGCCGAGAACGGCACGCTGCGGTCCCCTGCCGTCCGCAACCCGCACGACGCCGACGGCTTCTCCGACGGTTGGACGAGGGTGCACATGGAGATGTGGACCGAGGCCCTCTGGGACGAGCACAAGCGCAAGGAGGACCGCAGGCGCCTGCGCGACCTCGGCGAGTTGGACGACTACTCAGACGACGACGACGACGACGACGACGGTGGTGGCGTCGCTGTCGGGGCGGATCCCGAAGCGAAGGAGACGAAGATCAAGATCATCCTCAAGGCGCGCACCGGCGAGCCTGTCAAGACAACGGCGCGACCGGCGAGCACCGTCGCCGAGCTCATAGAGGTGTACCGCAAGATGAGGGACGTGCCTGCAGGCACGGAGATTCAGCTTCATTTTGACGGAGAGCCGCTGGACGGCGAGACGACGGTCGAAGACGCCGACATTGAGGACATGGACTCATTAGAGGTTCATCTCCGAGAGTAACTGCATTCTTGGCGACTTCACGTCGAGGTGGAGCGTGCTGATTGAATGTGGAGTTCATCGGGTGTTTGTTATAACTAGGATTAGGATTACGGTTAGGAGCAGGATTAGAGATACCCAGGAGTTCAACGTCAGCCGATAGCTTTTGCTGCCGCCGAACAAACACAAATGAGACGACACCATGTGATTCCATTGTTGAATCATAGCGTTTAAACTACACACCCTCGGGCGCAGTGCCTATCTCGCGAGGTCGACAAGTCCGCAAGCCATGGTGCCATTCTCGCTTCAAAGTCCGCCGATGAAGTCTCCGACTTGGCGCAACGCCTCAAAACCATCCAAACTCCTTCGTCACAGCGATGGATCTGCATGATAGTGACCCGGATCTGACTCTTCGAGATATGATTCATTTCCATCGGTTCGTCTCTTTCACGGCTGCCTGCGGCGAGACAGGCCGCTGAGATGTGACGCACGCAGGATCGTCACGGTGCCCGCTGCCTGAAGGATCAGTCCCCTGCATTTTGCTGGCTGCCTGTTTGTATAACACCCACACGGCTGTCCCCTGCCAAAGATGTTCCCGTCCACGGTGTTTCACAGATACGCACAAGATCTCTCCATTTCGTAACATAACATCTCGTGCACTCACTTCGTATTGTCTCTTGGGAACTTGTACACCCAATAAGTACCCCCTTATCCCGAACATGAAGGTTCTCCTCACCGGCGCAACGGGCTCCGTCGGCGGCGCCGCCCTCCGGGCCTGCCTCGCCCACCCGGCCATCACGTCCATCGTCGCCGTCCAGCGACGGCCCTGCCAGCCGACCTCGCGTCGAACCCCAAAAATCACAACCCGTCATCCTCCGCGATTTCGCGTCCCTGGCCCGAATGAGGTGGCTGCAGGGCCGCACAAGGGACGCCGCGGCCATGATCCTGGTGAGTCGCACAGCAAACCGGCGGCCTCCCGCCCGCTCCCCTCCCGGTCCCTTTCTTTCTTCATCAAGATCACAAGATCACAAAAAAAAAAAAAAAAACGCTCACCACCGAGTCGGCCATGGTCAGGGCAATGGGCACATACGACGCCAACAATGTGACGGTGAACCACGACTACCCCGTCGCCTTCCAGGAGGCCTTTGCCGAGGTGCTGCGGGAGGAGAGGCCCGCGGGCCCCAGGTTCAGGTTCATCCTGCTGAGCGGCAAGTTTGTCCGCCAGGACCAGGAGCAGCATTTGTACTTCCTGGAGGAGGCGCGCAAGATCAAGGTATGCGGTCCCCTTCCTTTTGCTCCTCGAGAAACTTGCATCCGCCAGCAGCCACTGACGCGGCGTGTTCCCGCGTTCAGGGCAGGACGGAGACCAGTACGTTGAACGTGGAGCGGAAGTACCCAGAGCAATGGCAGGCGCTGGTCCTTCGGCCCGGCGGCATCATCACGCACGGCATGGTAGGAGGCGGCGTGATGGGTGCCTTGTTGAGCGTCAATTGGGTAATCAAGATCGACGAGCTGGCGGCGTACATGGCTGAGGTCGCTGCGTCTGGCGAAGGCGAGGATACGATGATTGAGAATGCACACATCGTCGCCCGCGGGAAGAAATTACTGGAGGCATCTGCCACCTCGACGAAGCCTCAGGGGACGGACCATGCCGGCACCAGTTGGATGAAGGGATCGATGACCATTCAATGAATTTGACTCTGCAAAAAAATAAATTTTCTCTCATCAGATACTGTCTCTCATCAGATACTCAATCATTGAAATGGAAAGAAACAATCCCAAATAACAGCCATGTAGCTAGCTGCACATTATCCCTCTCTCCCCTCTCCCATACCCCTTTCGGTCCATTGAGCAAAGTCTCAATTATTGTTCTTCCTACTCCGCGAGCTCCTCCATCGCCTTCTGCATTCCATACTCCTTCTGTTCGATGGCATACTGGCATACCCTCTAGTCATGCCGCTCGCCGCATCCGACGCAGACATCGGCCGACTCCTGCTCCGCATTGTCCGGCTTCCAGGCCTGCCAGCCCAGGCTCGACTTTTGCGTCGAGGCAAAATCAAGACTCGTCTCGTCGTCTTCTTCTGCCTTCTCGTCGTCGTCGTCGTCATCACCACGCGCTTGAATGCTGAAGTACCGCGATGCTTTGTACTCCTCGCCCAGACGCTTCGCAACGTCGTTGGCCTCGGAAAGCGACACGAGCCTGCGGGAGGCGGGATGGCGCTCAAGATGTTCAGCAAGGAGGTCCCATGTCTCTTCATTCTTGTCCTTGCTTTGGGTCTTGATATCGCGGCCGTGCTTCTCATTGACAAAGTTGTCAGCATTGCGCTGGGGAAGATTGCTTGGCCCGTTCCAGTCATTAAAGTGCGATGGCAGAGAGCGTGGCTGATCGAAGCGCTTGCTGATGACGCGGGTATGCGCAACCTCGGCGGGGGTGCGGCCCACGGCATTCTCGCGGTAGAGCAGGCTTGGCCTGTAGGTCAAAAGGGCCTCGATAAGCACCATGCTGTTCTTATTGACTGCTGAGTGAAGAGGTGTGTCGCCGGCACCGTTGAGCATGGCGAGTTCAGCTCCCTCAGAGTAACCAAGGAGCAGATCTAGAACTGCAGTTGCTTCCTCTTTGTTGGCATACTTCGTCCACCTGGTGTGGTCGTAGCTATCCGGGAACTTGTTAACCCACGAGTGGAGGGGAGTTGTTCCCTCGTCCTGTAGGTTGCTTCTCTGCAGAAGAAGGTGAGCCCTGAGTTTGTCGTCCATGAGCTCCAACAAATCCTTAAGGTTATGAGCCTTTGGAAGCCATTGCAGCGCTGCGTGGATAATGTTTTGACCTTGCTTGTTGCGCACAGATTGGTTCGCTCCAGCTTCGATGAGAGTCTTGGCAAAGTCAACGCGGCCAAGGTGAAAGGCGAGCCAGAGAGGAGTGTCGCCCGACGTTGTCTTGTACTCCAGAGAGCTTGGGCAGGCTTGGATCAAGTACTGGATGACCTTGTTGGTCTTCTCGTTAGAGGGGCCCATCACAGCACAGTGGAGGACAGTTTCGTCTGCGGGCTTGTCAGCTAGAGACACTTATGAAGATTGCTGGGGACAACATACTTTGAATGCCGAGCCATTTACCAACAGCTCGGTCGAATCCACCAGGAGCGTTACTGAGATGCTTCAGTCTCGGATCCTCGCTCGCCGTCTTTGACTGGCCAAATTCTACGTAGCAACGGAGCGGGGCGTCACTAAGGAACCACTCGACCGACTCGATACTGCCTCCGAGAGCAGCGTGAAGCAGAGGCGGAGTCTTGAGCCCAGTCTGTCTCACGACGAGGTTACGACCGGCAGTAGCCCAATCCTTTCTGTAGAAGTAGTTAGTTTCAAGGCCGCCTTGTCACACACGGCTAGATCATACCTCTTCTTGCCGTACACTGAGAGGCCTTGGTAGTACTTCGGCTTCTGCTTGAGCTCCACACCGCTCTTCTTGACGAGATGGTCGAGAGGCATTCCTGCACCAAATCTCTTGATAATCTCGGCGAGGGCGCCTGTCTTTCCATTCGCAACAGCCCACACGAAAGCGTCCTCAGGGAAGGAAAAGAAACTTCCGTTGTCTTCCTCGTCGGTATCTCCTTCCAGCTTCTCACCCGAGTAATGAGCAGCGAGATCCAGCAAGAACTTCAGGCCCGAATGGTCGTCGTGCCTCATAACGTGGCTGAAGAGAGTCTCGAAGATGGTTTCTTTGGCATTCTCTTCGTCCTCACCCGCATCTTTAGCTGTGAAGCACATGACTCGACTGGTCAGGCTCTTGATGGGCTTGTCGTGCGAATCCACATGCATCGATACCTGGCCAATGTTGTCGATGGTAAACTTCTTGTCTACGGCCAATGCCACGATCTTGGGGTGGCCAGGGTTTCCCTGTGTCGCATTGTCTTCGTCAGAGTCCTCTTCAGAGCCATCTTCATCCGAGTCGTCATCGTCCGGGTTTCCAGTAGCGAGCGTGTAACGCGACTTGTCCTTCTCAACCGGAGAGTACTGAGCTTTAATGATCTCTAAAATCTCCTTGGCCACACCACTATGTCCTCGCAGGAAGGCGAGTGAGAATGGAGTGCTGCCGTCGGAGGTCGTTATAGAAGCCTTTAGAGGAGGCTCGGCCTGATCCTCACCCCAGGCTTGGAGGGTGAGTGACTTGATCTTCTCAAGGTCGCCGTTCCAGGCAGCTTCGAGCCTAAAGAAATGTTAGTCAATTGAAACGGACCAGTAAAAAGCAAACATACAGTTCAACGTAGGCAAGCCTTCGAACTTCTGTGATATCACTAGCGCCAACAAAAGCGATCTGCCACTCGTATACCGGCTGCTTGTCCTCCTTCTTCTTCTCGTCATCAGCGTCGCTGTCGTAATGGTAGCGGTAACGGCCTGAGCGTCCTTCTGGCTCAGAAACCTGGGGGTAGGCCTCATAGAACGTCTTGGCCCCCCTTTCGATCAACATCTGCTCCAATTTCTCGAGATCGGCAATGACCTCCTTGATGGCTGTCTCCTTGAGATCGCGGCCCTTCTGTTTCTCTTCATGCTTCTTCAAGTCTTCCTCATAGGTCTTGGTCTCTTCCTTGAACTTCTTCTCACGAGACCTCACATCCTTTTTCGTGGCCAGGTACTCGTAAGAGTTTTTGTTCAGGCTGTCGAGTCGCTCTTGCATGCCTTGATGCAACTGTGGCTTGCGTAGATTGTGACGCTCACCCTTGTACTTGCGTAGATTCTTGAGCTGATCGTGCACAACATCCAGTACAGTCTCTCCCCGGTTGTACTTGCGCTGCCATTCATCGTGCATGACCGTCTGCCCTTGGCTGGTGGGTGTGTTGGGATCTGCGCCCATTTCCACCAGCTTCATGGCTACCTCCAGGTCGACGCAATATTTGACAGCCACGATGAGAGGCTGCTCCACAGATCTGGCAAATCTGTTCTGGTTCTGCTGGTAGTCTCCGAGCTGATCGGCGCCCTTCGACATCTTAGCTGCCTTGAGCCAGGTCGCAAAATCAATCGAGTGTTTCGCTCCAGCGTTGAGAAGCTTCATGACGAGGTCGGTGTCTTCGTTCTGGATTGCGGAATGAAGCGGGCCGACGACTTTGCTCCTGTAGTATCCGTGGGCAGGGACCAGGTGGTTGATTGCGGATTTGGTTCCAGACTGATCGTTGTCCCAGAGTGTGTCTATCAGAGTGTGGCTGCCTTCAGCGACGTATCGATGGAATACGGTACAGCTTTCGAGATCTGCTTGAGATGAAGTGGCGCCGAGCTTGAGAAGAAGCTTCGCCATGGATTTGGCTTTGTCCTCCGGCAATCGAAGTGCAAGAACCAGTGTCAAGAGAGCCGCCTCTGGCTGCTTTTCCTCATCCAGGAATTTGACTGGAAGAAGAGCATCGCTCCCATACTAAGCGACATGTTAGATTGACTTTGTGAAAAGGATGAATGTGGTACTTACGTTGCAAAGCGTTGTCACAACATCCTCATGCCCTTGAGCGATGGCCAGGTGAAGAGGGGAGCAAGGGATATCCCAAGCGAGAACGTCACTCTTGTAGAAGTCAGGCTCGTCGGGCGCACCGTTCAGGGCGGCATCATCCGTCTCCTCTTCTTTTGCCTTCTGGACATCGACGAACGACCCAGTAGCCATCGTGCGAGCATCAATCTCGGTTCCCTCGCCGTCGATCAATTCTCCATCGGAATCAGAATCGGCATCCGACTCTGGGTCCGTTTCGTGATCAGCAACATTTGTAGCCTCTGAAGATTTCCCAGAGGCGGCTTCTTTGAGAGCCTTGCGTCGAAGATCTTGCTTCTCCTCCTCCTCGGCTTCGTTAGTGATGCTCCTTTCCATGAGGATCCTCACCATCTCGACATTCCCACGCTCAGCTGCCAAATGCAGGGCCGTATTTCCGTCAGCCAGACGAGCGGTCAAGCGTGCGCCGTGATCAACAAGAGCGCGGGCAACGTCGGGCGTAGAGTTCATGACAGCAAGATGCAGCGGTGATCTTCCAGTATAATCACGCTGGTTTGGATCAGCGCCCTCCTGAGATAGCCAGTCCAGAACTTCATCGACGTTGCCATCGACGATGCTTTGGCAAAGACGAGCCGTGTTGCCGACGTACGCCATATCAGTCCAGTCATCCTGAGTCAGAGGGTTGAAGGAGCCGATCTGTTGCCGGCCGGGGTCGTCAATGAGAAAACTAACGGGGCCGGAAATGTAGACATCTGCCTCTTTCTCGGCAATCTCGATCTCCTCGGGGGTCACCGCCGTTGGGCAAGTCTCACAGCAGTCTTCAATGACATCCTGAACACGTCCGAAAAAGGCGGGATGACGATGAAGGTAGACTTGACGGTCCTTGTGCTGGTTCCACTCGGCATTCAAGAGAAGATCTTTGGTATAGCAGAGCTTCTCAATTTTCTTTGCGTTAAACCTCTCACCATATGGAACGCTGAAGGTGTGATAGTTAGAAACCTCGGTTTCGTCAACCCAATCGGCAATTTCGTCCTCATGTGCGTCCTTGATATTGCCCCAGACTCGGTGCTGGAAGTTGCGATTGATTGCGGGTCGACCACGCTCTTCTCTACGCTTGTCAAGGTAAGAATCGCGAACGGAAGAGGTTGGCAGACGTTCAAGGACAAGGAGGCGAGCAAGGCCTAGGGTTCTCTGAAAGCTCCGTTCAAAGATGGTGGGATCCACGCGGCTGCGATCCAACTCGGGCCAGTAAATCTCGAAATTGCGATGGCTGTACTTGGACAGACGGTTCTCATAGGACGGGCTTCGTCGGGTGAGGTCGATGTGGTTGATCTGGGTGATGAAGCTGCCCAAAGCACGCGGCGTCACATAGACCTGCTTGCCATTGTAGGCGCCACCGGCAGCATCAATGTCGAAGCCAGTGAGAATTTCGCCGATAGACTTGTACACGCGAAGAACAATCTACAAAGGGTCAGGAAAGCTACACTGAGATTTCGACAAGGGGGGTGGGCCAACCTGAACATGACGCGTCGGGTAGTGAGAGGCAATCGTAATGGCGTACTTGGTCCGAACAACGGTGACTTCGGTCAATATGGCATCACGAATAGCTTGCTCAATCTGCTTGATCTTTTCAATGGCCTCATCGTGGGTCAGGCCGTACAGGAACAGATCAACGTCGGAAGCAGGACAAAACTTTTCGTGGTAGTACTCGCGCAGCTTGCGCTTGTTGGTGTTGAACTCGGGCGGTACGGGGAGTAGGGTGTTGACAACAGAGGAGCCTGCGGCCACGACGTTGCTCCAGTCCATGTCGACCAGAGACGACTCCGAGAAGACGCTGAAGTTCTTGCGAAACTCTGCGATCGACTGAACCACAGCGGGAGATCCGTCTTCGCGGCGTTTGTCATCAGGGAGTGACATGATATAGCGGCTCTTCTCCTCCTCTGACTCGGCAGAGAGGTTGCGAGCACGCGTCTTGATGTTCTTCGTGTTCTCGTTAAACATGGGAAGGAGGTTCACATAGGGGTCATTGAGAAGGGCGCTGTTGCGATCTTGGGCAAAGACCGACCGTAGCTGAGCCTCATAGCGGCGATAGGGGTCCAAAATCTCGACCATGGACTTCTCGGGGTGGCCAGCAATGTAGTTGACCAACTCCGAATGAGGAGCCGGAAGCTCCTGGAGCTCTTGAGTTGCCATGCTGGTGATGGTGCAGTCGTTCAACTTGTGGGAGAGGCTGGCAGTCTCAGGGCAAGGAGGTGGCGGGGTCTGCAGTCAATGGCGGGGTATCAATCAGGTAGGTCTTGACGTGTAATAAGGGGAAAGCACAAAGGAAGAAACTGGACTGGATGGTGATGATGGCGAGAGATGCGATGGGTCTACTACGAGAGGCATCATTGAAGGAGAAGAGACAGTTGCTTTATATCTGGAATCGGCGGATGGCAGGAGCTCACCGATTGCCCTTGCCAAGCAGCCACCTGCCGAAAGTCACCCCAGGTCGTGCATGAAGCTGTCAACGGTGGCTCAACGAACTGACGCTGCATTTGGCGTAGATTAGCGGAGGCGTCGACAACGCGGGGCTGCCAGTCGCGCTACAGGGGGTGTGCTGCCTAAACGGTGCAGGGTCCAGAGACGCGAAGTCACAAGATCAGGCGACTGCTGCCTTGTCATGTCGTTCGAGCTGCATCAATTGAGCATCTTGGTACGATATTTTTGGGCGTTGCAGCCTACGAGTGGTCTCCATGCGCGTCTCGACGCGTCTCGACAGGTCGTCGGTGCTCCATGGTGGCCGATGATCGTGGGTTGGGATGATCGCCGTTCATGGTGTGGTGCTTTGTCCAGCCCAGGCAGAATCACGCCCTGGACCCCTGAGCTAGAGCCAGCCACCAGGCAGAATCCGTATCCACTCATCCTTCGTCTGCTCATCAGCTCGGATTCAAGCGTCGGCCCTGTTCAGTGGCAATCAGTTGTCGTGATCACTGTGTCCAGCATTGCATCACTCTTAGAACATAGAAAACTGCCATTTCTCTGGCTAATAGCTCATCAATGAGCCCATTGGTATCAATACAAAGAGCGTGGAGTCCATATCCCATGTCCAATCTCACCGGTCCCAGATTCGAGATCCATCCAGATCCATCCAAATCCATCGCATAGCTTACAACAATTCACATCCTAGTACCGACCCTTGGCCCTGTCACATTCTTCCATAAAACGATAGATGCCCTCAAGACCATCGAACTCTTGGGAACAGTGTGTTCCCGAACTCAAAGGAGGCGGCGACATGCTCTCGTATCCCTCGGGATCGGAAAGCCATGGGTTCTCCGCCATCTCGGCATCCACAAAGGCATCATCGAATGCCTCTGATAGACCCGAAAGAGAGCGCAAAGTGCCGCCTGGAGACGTCATGGTCTTTTCTGATGCCTGGCTGTCGGGCGCGAAGGGGAACTTAAGCGCAACCTGAACGCCGCCATTGGTGTTAAACTCTGGGTCTTGATAGACAGCGCCACGCTGTAAACCAACGTCGTCGCAAAGTCGCTCTGCCGTCGCGGCATCCACGCCAGGGAACCGAACCCTGATAATGTTCGACTTCTCCAACGTTACAGGCAGATCTCCTAACACAGCCAACCGTTTCAGATCGGCGAAAACGGCTGTCAAATCCTTGAGGGCGCGGCCAAAGTCCTCGGACAGGACATCGAGGAAACCGTCGCGGTTCAGCGTGACGCCGTCCTCCTTGGTACCGGCGCGGAAGGGGAAGGCAGCAGCGAGCGGGCTCAGAGCCGTGACCGTGGGGCTCAGCTGGAAGTCCACAAAGGAGCCAGGCTCAAAGCGGGAGACCTTGGCCAGCCTGCACCCGGCCTCGTGCTCGAGCGTCGAGACGGCCCTGTACCGCTTGTCGCCGCGCTCGTTGAGGCCGTCGAACCGTGCCTTCTGTCCTGAGAGGAAGAAGGCGCGCATGGCGACGCCGACGTTCTGGACCACTTGTGCCGGGGCGGCCGGCGTGTGCGAGAAGTAGCGTGCGCCGCCGCCGGTGCTGTAGCCGCCTTGCGTACGGCAGAGTGTGCCGCCGGTCAAGTTCGGGCGAAGTGTGCTGGCGAAAGGGGCGCGGCCGGTACCCTGGGCCACGCGGCGGGATGTATTCGATGTGGGGAATTTGGTCCGGTCGAAACGGGGACTGGCGGATGCGGTGTTACCAGAGGACATCCATCGGCGGGCGGCACTTTGAACATGCTGGTAGGCTTTGGTCGATGACCACCGTGCCGAACGTCGCTGGCGGAGCAGAGCAGCTGGGTGGATGGGATGTCTTCCCGTAGAGATTGCGGATCGTATGGGAGCGGGTTGGAGCTTTGGTGCATTGGGAAACGTGTGCCGAATCGCCTTGGAGGCGTTTGCGGCGGCCGAACGGAGCAAGCGCATGGCTACTGGAGCCCATACACCCCCCGAGGCAGCCATGATGAAGTCTCAAGTCGGTATCGAGTCGTGATGCTCGACAGCTTGTGACAGCAGCCAGAGGAAGGAGGAGGAGCGGGCGAGGAAGTGGCGGATGACCTCGGGGTGTTATATGACCGGCGATAAGATAATCATTCGCCACCCGTTGATCTGGATGCACCGCCACATCTCGCTGCCATTGCGGGGTCTCTTGCTAGTCTCAAGGAAGACTAGCGCTAATCAAAAAGAAAAAGAAAACGCGAGGCCGAAAAAATTCCCAAGCTTCCAACTTCCTTCTTTGCCCATCACCAGCAAAATCGTCAAGGTCCAGCGACCTGTGACGTTTGCCCATTGCGCTGCCAGCGCGCATGCAATGGGTCACGATCTTTACTAGATCTGCCAATTCTACTTACATTCAGCTCCGTGTAACTGGATTTCGTTCAAAAGGTTTGTCTCCGATTTGCGTTTTGCTTTCCTTCCTTTCTACCCCCACGCTCTATATGATGAACACGACAGACACCACAGGGATTCCTCATGCAGAACAAACTTTGTTGATTCCGGTGCAATAGTTTCAGCCTTGTCTGTCCTATGAGCCAAAGCTTTCCTTCGCTGCAGCATTTTTTCTGTCTTGATCTCAAGCTAACTCATTATTCTTAGGTAAACATGGTCAATCACCACTCTCTCTGACGCGTGCTCCCGGCCATGACTACACAATATGAGGAATCTTTGAACGACAGGCGGACAAAATGAACCCTCGTCGGCCGTCCATTAGCAGCAGCGAGGACTTACAAACCTTGTGGTGGGCGGTCTGGCGGGGTTTCTTGTTGAAAACTCGTCAGCTGATTGTGATGCCGCTTCGCGTATTGATACTGGTTTACATGTCGTACCGAGACGGAGGGCTGACATGGACAACCAGGTAAACTACATACTTTGGATCTCCTCGTTCTGTCGTTAGACAACGCTCTCTACAATGATGAAACGTCTTTATATTGTATTCACACTGTTTGATCGACTTTGCTTCGGCGTCGTCGAGATGAACAAAGTTAACACTTGCTGATCTTTGAGGTATTTGATGTTGTCCCTCTCCAGCGTGACCGCGTGCTGACAATCGACCTAGCTTTTTTGGACCTTTTTCGTACGAAATGTTTGCGATCGAGAGCCCTTGCTGACCGCAACGACTCAGGTATTCTTGTCGATGCATCGCTGGAACTCGTAGCTGAGGTTTTTTTTTGGTAGGCTTCCTCCGTTCTGCTTCCTTCCCCAACCAACCTTGCCCACTTGAGGATGACATCCTTTTATTATCTTTCTGAGTTCACCATGATTGATAAAATTCCTGTTCACCTTGGAGAACTGAATCATACTGGGCACAACACGTCATGTCATTATACTCTTCATCGACACGCAACTGAACATGTGCTCACAGATAAGCCAACATCTCGCGGACATTGGCCAGAGCTTTTATGATGCCAAAATTTAATTCATGTTTCCAAGAACCCGC